TCACATCCACATTTAGTCATACATGCTCTTTATCAACTTTCCTCCAGGTGTCTTTTGTTTCTTGATCTCATGGTGGGCCAAACTACTGTAATTTCCCGGATGTACTTTCAGGGAACACTCACACAATTGACTAATCTGCCACCACTTCCTTTGCAATAATCATGGAATCCCTCTGCATGGCAAAACATTCTGTCTTAGTCTGTAAGGCATACATGAAACTCATGAATACAGGCAAAACTTGCTTGGTTGAATATCTTTATTGTCACAAGGGGGGATATGAGAGCATAGCAATTAAGATCAAACTCATTTGACATTTTTTTTTATTTAGCAAGTGCAATTATAACCCCCTGCTGGTAAGTAAACTAGGATGAAAATTATATTGTGCAAGTGAAAAGGTCTTCACTTTTAAACCATTATCCTTCATGCTGCAATGCCATTAAAACATTCTCACCAGACAACTGGAGTTAGACCTGGAAGAGTGGCTTCCATACCTGTTTTGCTGCTCCTGCATACTTACCTGAGCATAAGAACTTCTGAATTCAGTAGGTCAGACTACAAAGGAAGCATGCATATGTTTATACTTGTTGAGCTTTGATTTCTGTGGTCATTTTTCTCTCTGGGTGCGCTAGCTGTTATTCTGAAAACAGAGATACTAGTATGGCTGAAAGCATTTAGACTGGAAATAGCATAGTTCTTTGTGCTCACAGCCATGTAGAAAGTCACTGATCCGTTGTCTTTGGGGGTTGTGAAGAGAAGAAAGGAACAGCTCAGTAACTCCGGTTTTAAGGTTTTCTTTGGGTGAACTTGCTATCGTTTTGGTATCTTGGAATGTAGAATGACTGAAGGCATCAGAGTGGAGATGACTCGCCTCACCTATCATCAAGCTAGATAGTATGTTGAAACAAGAGTTTATTTCTTCTTTAGCAAACAGGGAAGAATCTCCAAATTCTTTGGGGTGGAAGTCATAGGGGACACATATATTGTCACTGTAAGCCTCTTTCCATTTTAGGCAGAGCTGAAAGTGATTAGTTTAGTTTTACACAGTACATGGAACAAGCAAGGCAAAATCTTAAGCTTTGGAACATTTGAATAGAGAACAAAACAGAGCAACACAAAGACTACACTGAAGTTAATATACTCCATATTCTTATAAAGCTTTGTACTTTGCATGGTTATTCCACACCATTCCACTTGAAAACAACAAACATTTGCAGCGATCATTTCCCCCCCTCACATTTAAAGCATCCTGCTTTTGCAAGCTTGGTTCTAGATTCAGACAATGAGTTGACTATGATATGAACTGAATCAGATTGGATTAGTGGTGTGCTGCACACCCTTAACTTTAGGAAATGGATAACAATTTTGATAATTTCTACTTTCAGGATTACAGTCTCTAGGAAAAGGAAACAGCTCTTTGGAATACTGGAGCTTACTCTTTATAAACAAACATATGTCCTAGTTGATTTCCAGTCATAAAACCCAGCATCTATTAGCAAGTCATTCAATATGGCAGTAAGGCAGAACATCCACTTATGCATGAATGAAATGTTGTGAGACTCATGTAGATTTTTTTTTTAAAAAAAATGTGCAACCTGTGGTTCTTCAGAGATTGGTAAATTTGAGCCAGACTAAGGGACTTTAGGTATGTGGAGCAAATGAGAAAGAAAGAAAAAAAATAGTCTGTGACTGGGAGCTTTGCATGCTATTGATAATTCCAGTTCTCAAACTATAGTAGCACAAGCAAAGAGAGATGCTTTAATTCAGACGTCATTAATAAACCATCCCTGCTGAGGTGTTTGCATGGTATGATCTTTTTTAGACATGCAAAAAAAAAAAAAAATCCAACAACAAAATGCTAATTTTAGCAGCAAGAAAGCTACTAAAAGTTCAGCACTAATTACACAAATGGGATCTTCAAAATTAGTTAAGTAGAAATTGACATGTGATTTTGATTTCTAAAAGTTATTGAATTTTCTCGTAAATGTTAAAAGCACGCTACAGAAAGGTGGTTGCATCCTGCCGCTGCCGCTGCTAAGATACAATAAATATAACAAATGGAATGGGGAGATTTTAGATACCTGTTTTCTATGATGCAAAGAGCTGCTAAATGCAGTCCATATAAGTTGCCAAAATTAAAATCATGTGACTCCAGTTAGAACAGTGGTTCTCAACCTGTGGGTCGGGACCCCATTTAGGGTCGAACGACCATTTCCCGGGGGTCGCCAAACAAGACTGTCCGCCATTTTTCCCTTTTCTTTGGCCACGCCCCTAGCACCTGGTGATGTATAAGTGGTTGGGGGGTCACCACAACATGGGGAACTGTATTATGGGGTCGCGGCATTAGAAAGGTTGAGAACCACTGAGTTAGAAGATGCTGAAATAAAAAAGTTAAAAAGGAATTCCACTTCAGATTCATATGGAAATATACAATCACAAGATATTCAAGTTACAGTTGTGAAGACAAATCTTTTTCAATATGATCAAAGAATTGGTTTTCTTTCTTTGGAAGGATTCCCTGAACTGCTTCAAGTAGTTCCTTGTGTCCTACCTACTTTATACAAAATACACATGCTACAATTTAGTATGCATTATCGGCTTTACATACATTTGCATTTTGAAAAAATTAAGAATATACAGTATTTCAAATACAAGTCAACCTCTATAGAAGTTAGTTGGGTGACATGCATTTTTGTAAACAATTTTGTACTCTCATTAGCTTTTGTGTGTACTGCTCTAATAAGCATTTTCTGTTTTATGTTGGAACATTGCAAAATTCAAAGAACTAGTTTTTGAATGGAATAGTTTATGTTTGGCTTGAAAATGCAGTTAGGTAATTTATCAGAGAAGAATATACTTCAACTTCTTGGTAACTAGAAAAGTGCTTGTTTTCATTTTGAGGAGAAACATATCTTTAGCTTTTATTTCCAGCGTTGAAAAACAATAATGTTCCTTGTATTCGAATCCACTGAAATAAGAGATGTCTTCCACTACTCAGCTATTGTCACTTTTTTCCATTGTAGAAGTTAAAATCCAAATAAATTAGTACAGGTAGTCCTCGATGTTATGACCACAATTAAGCCCAAAATTTATATCACCGAGTGACATTTGTTAAATGAGTTTTGCCCCATTTTATGACCTTTCTTACCACAATTGCTAAGTGAAGCATTGCAGGTATCAAGTTAGTAACAGGGTTAAGTGAATCTGGCTTCCCCATTGACTTTGCTAGTCAGAAGATTGCAAAAATTATCACATGACCCCAGAACACTGCAACCATAAATATGAATCAGTTGCCAAGCACCTGAATTTTCATCATGTGACCACAGGGATGCTGCAATGGTCATAGGTGTGAAAAAAGGTCAAAAATCATTATCAGTGCTGTTGTAACTTCGAACAGTCACTAAATGAACTATTGTAAGTCGAGGACTACCTGTAATTTTAAAGGGCAAGTAGCTTTTAAAGTTCACCCACTCCTTACCATTCCCTTATTTCACAAATCAGTCTTTTACATCAAAAATGATCATACCCCAAATATTTATCATTTTTCTACACACACTAGTCTTCATACTAAGTTACAATCTCTTTGGAAGTAGGTGAAACAGTAAAGCTGAATAAATAATCCTTTGGCAAGTGATGGAACCTTTATACCCCAACAACAACACATTTTATCTTTAAGGGGTGGTATTTCCAAAATATTGGTAACAGTTATAAAAGCTTTTTTGGGGTAACTTCTCTAGTTTGCCAATTCTGTATAGGTATTAGGTTAGAAACTGGAAGACCTAGTCCTATCTTGGGGACAAAGCCAGCTTGGTGATCTTGGGCCTGTCATGTTCTCTCAGCCGTAGAAAGGAAGCAACGGCAAACCACTTCTAAAAAAAAAGAAAAATGCCAAAAACCTGCAGGGACTTGTCCAGGCAATCTCTTAAGAATCAGATATGATTGAATGAAATAATAAGCAGGTAGTGCACATCTTATGAGCCAATGGCAGTGAAAGTTCAGTAACTGGCAAAATGCTTATCCCAAGAAAGCTCTGCTTATACTTCATGTTTGAAGCATGCACTGCCCTTTTTTTTCCAGAACACTGAAAACTCAAATGCCAAGGTTATTTTCTTAGATTTGATACTCAAAATGCCTTCAAAAAGTTTCTGACTTCAGAAAACAAAAAGCAGACCAATTTTGTATAAGGCTTTGACCAATATAAACTCCCTGCAGCAACTCTTCAATACTACAGAGAGCTAATAGGCACATCATAAATTACCCAATGGCTTCATTATTCCAAATAGACATCTATATTTATATAACACTAAGGACAGATTTTTTTTCTTTTCTTTTGACTAGGTCACAATAAAAAATTAGAAGGATTATCCATTCAGTCTTTTTAACATTCAGTCTTTTTAACATTCAGTCTTTAACACCTAACATTAATTGCTGTTCATATCAGATACCCACCAAGTCAAAAATGTTTTTCATCAGTATAGTAGATCTTAATTTCCACAAGGAAGTTTTACTCATGGAATGACTAAATGGATTTGTGTAAAACTGAAACAGGAAAATAAATCTTTATAATTTGCACTTAAAATAAATATAATTTATATAAATGCGGAAAAAGAATGTTCAATAGTAGGCAATATAAAGTGCACTTTTCTTCATATTACATACAATACAAATTGCCTTTCCGTTTCTTTGTACAAATAATCAGGAATTAACCAAGGTACAAAATAGTTAAGTCCACAGTTACTGAATTATCAAGGGCTGCAATTATAGCCAGAGAATTGCTGCCAAAATGTCAACTAGAAAAAATGCCAACTGGAGAAACATGTGGAATGTAAGACATTTCCCCATTGAATCATACTAATACTAGTTTTCAAAATTGTCAAGTATCTAGTTAAATCCCCAAGTTAGAAATCAATAAAGCTTGAATAAATTGCAACCACCTCTTCCCCACCAGCAGAGCATTCATTACTCAATTAGTTTCCATGCCAATGAACCATCACAAAAGGAACTAGATCCCTCTGTACATGATTTTATTATTTACATAATACAATATAGCATAGATGCTGGGTAGCATGATTATGTGCAATACATAAATATGAACTATCTGTACACATTTGCTTATCTAATAACTCAACTGAGGACAAAATTTAAAGCAAAGACCTGATGCTTTTAATGAAGAAAACTAAGACTGAACACTGCAATAGAAATCAGAAGTAGTGCCCTATGTATACACAACTATTTACAAATGAGAACAGGCATTACCACTATACTACTCTAAACTGTACTTGTTTATATAAAAAACACAAGTTTCATACATCACAAAAAACCCTTCCATTATAACACAGAAGTGATATTACCAGACAAGCATCAGTGAAGTATACTGCCTTTTCTAGAGTTGTTATTGTACAATGCTGTAGATAATGCAGCCCATGCAATACACCCAAGAACACTACAGTCCTACACCCAAATACTATAAAATGATAAAAGCAGCCCCTCAGAGTGGTTCCAGGTACCACGTAAGTGTACAGCAGCCATATTGGGTATGATTTCTCCATGCAAAAGGGTGCAATCTCACTACATTTGGAAACTATAAAAAAATTAAAGGCTAACCTTTTCAAACCAGAACATATTCAAAACTTAAGATGCATATGAAAAAATTAAAGGCTTCAATACATTTGCAAACTAGGTTCATCAGATGCAGGTGCTTAATTGAAAGAGCTGCTGTGATTAACTTTTATCAAAAATGTAGCCTTTATTTTGTAAACTGAAATCAATTCTTGTTGCATTGTGCTACACAATGTATTTAGCTACTTAAGAGTAAGAAGCAGACAAGTCTCATGTTGTAGGCTAGTTCATAAAATTCTGAAAAAAAGTTTCCTTCAGGAACTAGTTTTTAACAGTTGAACAATTTTTATCACTTCCAAAGATTACATCCTTTAGAAGGTAATCTTAAACTGCAGTTTATGGCACCTGAACACCCATTTTCATTTAGAAACGGCTCCTCTGCAGTTCAGCCTCAAAACAATGAAGTGTGGAAATTAAAGATGATTACGTTTAACTATGGTAAAAGGAGACTCGTTTTTCTTGGTGTATCATTTAATCAAACAGGCACATTAGCACTATCCAAAGATGATATACCTCTATCAACAATCCCAAAAGGCAAATCTGCTGCAAACATGCAGATTTTATGCATCTGTTTGGCACATGTGAACTAGACAACTCTGTCCTTTTGCGCATGTCTGTTTTCCAATGCAGGTCTTACTCTTTCATTCATTTGGGGGAGGGCATGTATACATTTTAAAGGGCTGTATCTATCCAATTCTGCCTGTAACACCCACAATATCCTAAAATATCAATCAATAAGACAAACTAAAGTAAAACTCTGGAGAACATCAAAGGAAAATGGCCATGCATCTGCTCTTTAATGTTTTCCTATATTTTAAAATAAAAACAAAGGAAGTCAGTCTTTGCACCAAGTAGGTTAGTTTATATTCTCTGGATTTTCTCAGCCACAACAACTGGATTCTCTTTCCTGATTTTTGCTGCAGCTTCTGCTTTGTAATCATATGGGCAGTTGTGCTTGTCAGAATAACGGTGAAGTCCACAAAACAGATTTCCACATCGGCAGTCAAATCCTGCAAAAATACAGAAACAGTATCTTGAAGTAAGTTGTGGTGAAGTCTTAATAATTAAGGCGTTGTCTTTCTAAGCAATACATCCAATCTCTAAAGATATTTGTCTAGTTTGAAAGAGCCTTAAATGTTTCCCCAATACATTCTTTCAAAGCAAGGAACTGGACAAAATGAACTCCAGTAGCCTACCTGTAAGTCCAACCTTCTTTCTGCACATAAAACATCTGTTCTTCTTTGGTTTGGGCATTTCAGGTGTTTTCTCTTCATTTTGAGACGTACTAGGTTGAGTAACTGAAGGACTTGGTTGGGTAACCACTAAAAGAACAACAGAAATTGGTTAAATATACATTTCTGCTTTAATCTGAACTTTCATCTCCATCACTTTTTCACATGTTCCACTGTTAAATAGGATATACAAAACATCCCTATTTAAATTTGATATTTGAACTTGAAATGAAAGTTTCCAGCATTTCAGATGTGAAACAAAAGACCAGTATTCAAGAACTTCATTGAGGTTAAAACAAAAATATTCTGAATTTTCTGTCCTCTTAAGAAAAACTTGGCTGTTAAAATTATATTGCTTTTAGCGCTAAGATTTGTACTTTCTATTATTTTTGCAAAATGTTTATTACCAAGTACTGTAGCAGGACCAGTTTCATCCATGCTATCAGATGTATGATGCAGGAAAGAAAGGAAAAAGTGATTACCTAAATATAGGATGAAACTATTATTATTGAGCAATAATCACTGACTTGCCTAGGTCAGACTGTTCTGGATCTGTTTTACAGTTGCTTGTGTGACTATTACCAGTGCAAAAAGGTGCACATGTATTGAATGTATTATGCAACTATTACCTATGCTGTTGACTTTTTCTGCCCATTAATGCAAGAATGGTATTTTATTGTTGTGATTCCAATGCAACCACTGTTAACCTGCAAAAAAGGGGGATTAAAAAATCTACACTTAAACTGCTGTCAAGATCGGTTTCCATGAAGATTTTGGAATTGTTTTTCTATCTGGAATATTATGTCTAGAACACTATAAACTGCTTCCAATTCAAAGAATTAACTTGTAGAAAATAGCCAGACCATCCACGGAACAGTCAGATCAGCATGATCCAGAGAAAAAACAGAATGTTTCTGAGTTCCTTGTACTCAGATCTTCAGCAATTGTTTTTATTTGGGCAATAGCAAGACAGCAGCCTGAAACCAATATGAAGCAGTGGAACATTTGCTGAAGTTGTTTCAAGGACAATGTTAATATTGAAACATTATTTCTATAAAAGATTATTTGGTTAAAACATTCTTGAAGATATTGGGTGTACAACCAGTCTTAAGTTATTTTTCTCCTCTTTCCCATTTCTCTTTTTAGAAACTACCTTGAGGAACATTTATATAATGAGTTGTTTTAATACTATGGACAATTTGAAACAATTTTGTAATAAAGGAGTACAACTTTGGAAATCAAAGAATTTTTTCCCAACACTGAACTTTATCAAAGGCACCAAGAATCAAACCAAGACATTTGGTGGCCTTAACCAATGGATTTAGAGTTCTGCACAGTCCAGCAATACATGTTGGAATATGAGAGAACAAGTGTGGAGAATCCTTCAAATATTGTAACTCTTATCTTTTATCAACCACAATTAGCACATCAAATAATGATGATCTTTTATTTGGAAAGCTAACATTTCCCTGATCTCACACAGACAATAATATTTATGAGTTATTGCAGCAACTTAATTTCTACTTATTCCACCTTTTTGGAAAAAATATTTTTTACTGAAAGTAAATGCTTTGAAGTAGCTCTTTTCCCTCCATCACTGTTGCACATTGCAGCTGCAACAGCTTAAACTTGCTCAGAATAAACAGGGAGGCACTATTGGCCTTGAAACTGAAAATGTATACAGTATGTACTTTATAGAGATGTTGCTATCATTTCAATATAGAGCTAGGACGAGGGCAGGTCTATAATCAATTGTGTAGATAAACTGGAAGTAAAAACTAGATACTCCTCTGCCACTTTCCAGAGATCAATTATCTCCTTCACTTATGGTACTGCCTAATAGAAAGTTTATTTTATCAAGCTAATTGAAATATGCATTAAATGTCCACAGGGTGACATATACTGATATAATTAAAATGTTAAATTAAAACAGCCACTGTGCTGTCATTGTAACCATTTTTAATGATGTAGAAATGTTTTATACATAATTATATAAAGTCATGTCAAATCATTCTAAAAATCTGAGCTGAGACAGGATTGGGTATTAAAAATGTCATTTTCTTTTTAAGAAAGGCCACAAGGATGAATAACATTGTTTATCAATAGCTATATGTGTGAGCTGCTTTTTACCTCAAAGCTATTTTCTTTCATATCCAACTCAAATTCACTGTTATGATAAAGTGCACCATGGAAGACACTATTGGTAAAACTCTTTAGACGTTTCAATTAAATATGTAAGAACAAAATCATGCAGAAAAATATTATGACTCAACTAGCACAAATAGTGCTAAGAAATCATGAGAATTATAATTCAAAGCATCGGGAGAGTACAAAAGTTCAAATGAATAAAATAAGTACATCCACATTAACCATCCATTTAATATAAACAATGTGGAAAGCTATATCAATACATAATCCATGCAAAACATCTAATGCCCAATCAACTTCAGTTGGTGTGTAATTTTTAATGTATGGGGGGAAAATGTGTTGTTGCTTAGCACGTGGGGGACTTGCAAATTTTAATTAATCCTTGCTTACAGATATAAAGTGAGTTAATTAAATTTATTATATGTAACTTGGTTGCTCAAAAACTATGTTTGTTATATATCTAAAAGTTTAGGCATAATTATGAATGCATTATCTTAAAATATTGTTTTTTGTAAACAAGCTATTATCTAGACATGAAAAAGTAAAAAGCCTGAACGTATTTCTCACTTTATCTTCCACTTATGCCAAGTAACCATATAAAGCACTAATTTTCAGAAGCTAAGAAAAGAAAAAGGCTCAGAATATAGTTTTTGTGGACTTCAAAATACAGGTAGTCCTCAACTTCCGACCACAACTGAGCCCCAAATTTGTGTTAAGTGAATTTTGCCCAACTGTACATTTCTTGTCAGAGTTAAGTGAATCACTGCAGTTGTTAAGTTAGTACCATGGTTGTTAAGTGAATCTGGCTTCCCCATTGATTTTGCTTGTCAGAAGGTCACAGAAGACGGTCACATGACCCCAGGACAATGCAACTGGCATAAATATGAGTCAGTTGCCAAGTGTCTGAATTTTGATTATGTGACCATGGGGATGTTACAATAGTTGTTTGAAAAATGGTCATCAGTCACTTTTTCCAATGCCGGTGTAATTTTGAACGGTCACTAAGAGAACTGTTGTAAGTCAAGGACTACCTGTATAGATTTTTGCCTATACTGGAATACACCTATCTATTCTTTTTATGTAATTGTTTCTCCTTCTACCATATCTAATAATGTTATGTAAAACTTTCCCATATTACAAGATTCCTTCAAAATGCTATTTAAGCAATCAGGGAATTTCTTCCGATTATTAAAATTCTAGCAAAACCATGAAGTTATTGCAATACTTCCCCTTTAAGCTATATTCAATTTAATGCATTTTAAAAAGGGGGGGTGTTACACTATACATTAAATATTTACCACAGAAAGTTTACTCTACAAATACTATTTACCATGATGACGGTACAGAAGAACAAATTATTAAAAAGAGCTTTGATATCTGTTGACCCACTTAAAAAAACTGATTAAGGAGCAGAGTATGGATGTGAAAATGAATGAATGAATGCATATGTATGATTGAATGTAAGTTTGCTGATATTACAAATGAACTTTTGGAACTTGTCAAATGTAATGTATTAATGGCAGAAGATGTACGGTACTCAGTTCTAAACACAATAAGCATTTTGCATGGGGTTTTTGGTGTATTTTGACTACTAAATTTCTTAGATGTTGATCTGACTTGCAAATTAAGCATTTCTATTGGAAGAGAATGCAATGATGTAAGAATAACATTTTGATAAGTTTCCTGCATGTTTTTTTTCTTAAATATACAAGGTAAAAATAAAAGGTTTTTTTGAGCTGAGCTTGACCCTATGATTATATATTCTTCTTGGTAACTATTTGGAAGCAGTTTGCCACTTTCTTCTTCCAATAACCCCTCTCCACATACCCACCCCTTTGGACTTCATACTCTAGTCTATAACCCTGGGATTTCCTGGTGCCTCTCATCCAAGAACTAACCAAGTCCCACCTTGCTTAGCTTTCTAAGATCCACCACAGTTGGCTAGATTGCTGCCTCATAGCTGGGCTAACTGTGTAAGAAGTGTTCAAATATCAAATAATATAGTTTTCTTCCTTGATTACAGATGTTTAAACATGCCAGGTCCCACTGTACTAACTGCACTCAAGTCACTTTTAAAGAGGCATACCTGGCTCTGTTGTCTCTGTTTTCGGAATTACTTTCTCCTCTCTTGAAATGCTCATTTCTGTCATTTGCTGTGTTACAGGCAAGGCGGCAGCAGGCACATTTCTGCTTGCATTCAGTAAAATGAAAGCAATTTGTTAGTGCTATTACGAAGACTAGAATTTTTATAAAGCTAAGATTTTAACAACTTCAGCTCTTTTTGGTAACTGAATTACTGAACCCAACTGATAATAAATTTTGATAACAAATTATTAACTGACCTTAAAATCTATTCTTACAGTCATCCAAGATATTATCATAAATGTTTCATTATTATAATTCTCATATTAACTAAAAAAAATAGACTAAGTATTACTTCTATTAATTAAGTATAGCAGAATCTAATGCAATTGTAGAAGAAAAACATTGGATGAAACTAATTATCTGGACCCTTTTCAATCTGGTTTCAGGCCCGGCTACAGCACTGAGACTGCTTTGGTCGCACTGACCGATAACCTCTGGCGAGCACGGGATAGGGGTCATTCCTCTATCTTGGTGCTTCTTGACCTCTCAGCGGCTTTCGATACCATCGACCATGGTATCCTTCTGCGTCGTCTCGGAGAGGTGGGGGTGGGCGGCACCATATTGCGGTGGTTCTCCTCCTACCTCTCTGACAGGTCGCAGTCGGTGTTGGCGGGTGGACAGAGATCGACCCCTAGGCGCCTCAATTATAGGGTGCCTCAGGGCTCAGTCCTGTCCCCCCTCCTTTTTAACATCTACCTGAAACCGCTGGGTGAGATCATTCGGCGACACAGGGTGAGGTATCATCAGTACGCGGATGATACCCAATTGTATATCTCCACCCCGTGTCCTTTCAGTGAAGCAGTCGACGTGATGTGCCAGTGCCTGGAAGATGTGAGGGTCTGGATGGGGGTGAACAGGCTTAGACTCAACCCTGACAAGACCGAGTGGCTCTGGGTCTTGCCTCCCAAAGGTCAACTGGATGGTCCATCATTAGTCCTGGGGGGGGCAAATTTACCTCCCTCAGTGCAGGCACGCAACTTGGGTGTCCTCCTGGACTCACAGCTAAATTTGGAACATCTATTGGCTGTGGCCAGGGGGACCTTTGCCCAGGTTCGCCTGGTGCACCAGTTGCGGCCTTATTTGGACCGGGAGGCTTTACTCACGGTCACTCATGCCCTTGTCACCTCAAGACTAGATTACTGTAACGTGCTCTACATGGGGCTACCCTTGAAGAGCGTTCGGAGGCTGCAGTTGGTTCAGAATGCAGCCGCGAGAGCGATTGTGGGCGCGCCAAGGTACGCCCACATGTCACCTATCCTCCGCGAGCTGCACTGGCTTCCTGTGGGTCTCGGGATGCAATTCAAGATGTTGGTTATCACCTTTAAAGCCCTTCATGGCATAGGGCCAGGTTACTTACAGGACCGCATACTGCCGCACAGTTCCCAGAGACCGGTGAGGTCCCAAAGATTGGGCCTCCTTCAGGTCCCGTCGGCCAGACAATGTCAGCTGGCGGGCCCTCAGGGAAGGGCCTTTTCTGTGGTGGCTCCGACCTGGTGGAATCAACTTCCCCCCGAGGTTCGAACTACTCCCAGCCTGCCGGCCTTTAAGAAAGCCATTAAAACTCTCCTGTTCCGGCAGGCCTGGGGCTGATGTCCCCGGGGGGGGGGGTATGATTGGACACACTGTATGAATGTATTTATTTTACTGTTTTATTGTCAGATTATTGTTTTAATTTTGTATGCCGCCCTGAGTCCCTTAGGACTGGGCGGCATATAAATTTTAGAAATAAATAAATAAATTTTATTTAACATATTTCTATTTTACCTTGATTTCTCTGATGTGCTGCCAGCAGCACCTTCACAGTTGTTTAAACTAGTATCTGCTCTCTGTACAGATGTAGAATCTGAGGTAGGATTATTGGAACCACCTGATGTTCCTGGGAGGTTAAAAAAAGGAATATAATCAAATACATTACAATGTTTAAGCAAATAAAATGGTTGTTATTAAATGTACTATATCTACATCTAGTATTTCATTTTTATTGCCCTAAAACATACCCATTGGACTGATTCGGCCACTATTTTGCTGTCTCTGAAGATGTTCTTTATAGCAGACGGAACACATTCCATTAGTTCTAGGATTCCCATAAAATCCACATCCTGTGCTACACAGCATGGGTCCTGGGGTCTGGTTGGTTTCCTGAGCCATCTTGTGCTGTAAACAGAGGAAAAGGATACCTAATTAGGAGCTTGTATACATTCATAATTCACATAGAACTGCTATTACAAATGCTACTATGGCACAATTAGCCCTCTGCATAAATGTTGAATATATGTCATCGTGAAATGGCAGATCATCATAAACAGGGATGGGACAAGACTGGTGAAAATGTATATATTTGAAAAGTATAAGCTATGAAGAAGAAACTTAATCTTCCTCCATCTTCTCTGTCCAAAGGCAGGTGGATGGAGAAATTTGTAGGTACTCTCAATTGTTAAAGCTGTGAGTTAAGCTCAAAGAAAATAAGCTGCTTGTCATTTGATTCCTTTCAGCCTAAAGCCATTCCCAGTTCAACCCTCACCCAAGAGATTCTTTTTCTATAAATGGGAATGAATGCTAAATGCATCCTAAAAAATAAAAAAAGGGGAATGTGCCGATGCATATAGCTTATCCATATGGCATAATCACATAGATCTGCCTCTAATTGCATATTCTATTGACAATTATGTTTAGTGAAGCCCAAAGTTCCTAAGCTACTAAATGAACTTCAGATTGCTTTTATATAGTTTCTGTTGGATTGGGAAGGAAGAGTGGGGTTTATGCAAATATTATGCACAGCCCTTTTAGCATGAGCAATGCATTAACAAAAATAGTGCCACAATCACATAGAAAAGCTAAAATGTTTTGCAAGACTAATATTTTTATTAATATTCCTGTATTATTTATGAATAGGGAATATAAAACCTGGAAGATAAGGCTATTATTATACGTGTATATAGGTATGAAATTTGCTTTCTTATAGCTATTTTCACTCCTATTAAGTCCAAACGAAATCTGACAGGATAGTTATATTTATCCTTTCCCCAAATACCTAAAAAAGGTGAAAACACCTCATTATTTCAAAATATACAGATTTTAAAATACATGTTTGAAAAAAGTGGAAGAAAATATCTATTAGCCTTCCAAAGTAGGAGATTTACTTGTTTACAGATTGATTTCCAACCACCATTAAAACATTCAGGTTGTAGTTTTAAACTATGCATGAAACTGTCTACTTACAAAATGTAATCTGGTTTGTAAATCAGGCTAGTATTTATTAGAAATACTAGTCTATTCAATCCAATATATTTATACTGCATCTTTGTAAAACCAAAGCCTCCTTCCATATAATGCCATTTCAGTTCAAATTGTCCAAAAAGCAACAGGACAAGTATTGCATTAATGGGGTAATGAAATTAAACAGTTAAAAACTGATGCAAAATGAAATAAGATCAGTTTTCATTTTCAGACAGCTTCCAAGCACCACTTGGCATGGAATTTATAATATCTTTATATCTTTAGTCTAACTAGAATGCTGGCTTCTAATACCACCTCATGTGTGTCCTCTAGCTTTAGTTTTTCCTCAGAAGCTAAGGTCACATGGGGGAGCGCATTAGCTTCCGCTTGTCACAAGGCTGCAATGTGACAAGCTGAGCTAGAAGCTCAGATAAAACCCTGTCAACAGGGGCCTCTGAAATCAGCTTCTATTTTTATCTCAAAAGCTGCCTAGTTCCAGTACAGCTCACAAAATTAAAACAGCAAAATTCAGTTAAGATTCCCCCCCCCCAAAACCTCAGTTATAGGGCAATTCATAACTGTGTTAAAGAAAAACAATGGGTAAAGCCAATAATTAGAAAATTTGTCGAACTAATTCAGTTACAAAGGTATACGCAATTGTTCTTGCCATCCCTACATATATGGGCTACAAAAATCAGATGATTGCTTTATTTTTAAAAAAGTTTGTTTCCTGCTGTCCAGCTAAAGGTGACACATTCTAAAATAAACAAGCTGTTTGTTCAACTTAACTTTCATCAATATGAACTCCATCAATAGTTCTAAAACTCCACGGTGCAGAATGGGATAATAGGTAGTATGAAATAATTGCATTCCATGTTTAAAAATTCAGTAAAATTTAAAAAAAATATTTTAAAAAGTTACTCTTATCACAAGGAAGAAGTCACAGAACGAACTCAACAGCCCTCTGTGGATTGCTTAACACTGAAAAACATGGAACCGTAGTTACTAATTCAGTATTACACCCACAGAAATTGCATCACTTACGGCACGCAATTGCCCAGCTCATCAACACGCATTTAACTTTGTAAAGCAACAAGACGCTTCGGTTCAACTCGGAGGCCCTCGAAAGAAGGGCGCCTCCAGGGAAATCCTGAAGCTTTTTGGGACCCAGAGGAGCCGGGGATTTTCGAAGTGGCACAATGGATACCGGCCAAGTCGGAGGAAACAAAGGAGAAGCCGCTGCCAGTAAATTCAGCCCTTCGACAGGCGGAGGCGGCCCGGGGGGGGGGGCAATGGGACAAGCAGCGGATAAAAGGAAAGCGAGCCGCTCTCCAGCTCCAAGGACTCCGGGACGCCAAACGCGCCGACAAAAAAGACGGAGAAAATGGCAGGCGACGATGACGGTCAGGGCGGACTCTCCTGGTTGCGCTCCCGGGAAGGGATGGGCCAGAACCCGGGAAGAGAGGCAGGGGCCTTGCTCCGGCTCGCCGTTTCCCCCTCCCTCTCTCCCTAAGCCACATCCACCCAGTTGACAAACACATACATACTGAGGCCTGAGGGGCCTCGTGAAAAGAAAACCACTGAGTCATGGCAAGGCCGAGCCAGCCCGGGAAAGCCAAGCGGTCGCCCCCAGCGCTCCGGGACAACACACCAACTATCTCCCCCACCCACCCCCGCGCAAAAAGGCACCAAAGGCCGTTTCGGCCCTGACGAAAAAGGGAGTGCGGGGGAGGAGAAGAAAGGCGGGAAGAGGAGGAAGTCTTCGCTCCCATCCCGCGCCGGCAAGCCGAGGAAGCCCATTGTCTTCCTCCAGTTTCTTTGTTTCCCCTTCCGCCGCTTTTAGCGACTTCGGGGAAGACCCACTCCCGCCTCCTCGCCAGCCGACACCGAGCGACGGGCAGAGAAGAAAGAGCATCCATATTTTTCTGTTTCTCTCGCCGCCGCCGCCGCCCCCCCCCACTCGTCCGTGAAGCCACGCAAACAAGCGGGCACAGCGGTTCTTTTGTCGTCCTCCCTGCCCCTTGGCTGAACAAAGCGAAAAAGGCGGCCCTTTCCCCCCTCTCTCCCCCTCCCCAGCCGAGCTTTCGCGGTTCGCAACACGGAAAGAGAGACCCCCCCCTCCAATCCAAGCGCCCTCCCTTGGCAAACGCCCCCGCCTCTTCCCGCTCCTCCGTGGAGGCGAGACGGAGAACGACGCCCCCTTCTCATCTCCCCCCCCCCGCCCCACACCTGGAACGAAAGGCGTTTGCTCCGCCACTCACCCTCGCTCGGCGTCCCAGACACTTCGACTTGCAAGGGAAGAGTCGAAAGAGAGACGGGGAGACGCCGCCGCTGGTAGGGCTTTAGCGGGAAGAGGGTCCCGGAGCTGCAGCAGCAGCAACCGCCGCCGCTGCTGCCGCCGCCGCTTCTTTCCTTTGTTCCAAGAAGAGGAGGAGGAGGAGTTGCTGGTGCCGCTGCGCGGAGCTAGACACGGCGAGGGAGGGAGAGAGGGAGGGGGGTGGAAGATGGTTCCTCGTCGCGCGCTGGTGATAATGGCGGCGGTAAAGCCGTCGCTTCTGCGAGCCTCCGGGCCTGGATGAAACGTACTCACTCTCCAGCGCACAAACCGTCCCTCGAGTGTGGAGGAAGCGCGCGCGCGGGCAGCCCGGTCACTCCGGGTGAAGAAAAGTAGGCGGCCGCCGGGCTCCTAATGCGCTGACTGGCGCGGGCGCGCTGGCTGTGCCCTGATGGGAGTCGCTCACGGTGGGCGAGGGGGAGGAGCAGAAAGGAGGAAGGGCGGCCTGATACGTCACCATTCCAACCCTTCCCTCGCTCTTCCCCTCCCCCTCCCGCGCACATTGGGGAAAAAAAGAAAGCGGCGAGCGAAAGGGGGGCTGGAGACGTGTACACGAGCGACGGCGCAAGCGCCTCCTCACAGTTCACAGTCAGTGTCAACGTCACCGTCATTCTCCTTTCCACGCCCCCCTCGCTCGCTGAAGCGTGGCCAAGCGAGAGAAGGCGGGAGGGGGGGGGGAAGGTCGGTTGGGCTCGGATCTAAAAAACACGCCGAGAGGGGAGGGATTAAGAGCTGATCTGTCAGGAGGCGAGTTGTTGCTCGCTTTTAACCTAGGGTTACGATGTTAGCGGGCCATTTCTTCTCGTTTCGAATGCGCTCTGAAATCAAAAGACAAAGGTTGGCCTGTGCGTGTCAAAGCCGGACATGTTGCATGTTCCCTAGCTGGTCATTGGGAAATGTAACCACAAAGGAAAATGAGGAAAGCCTTCAAATTGTAAGCCTATCCGGCCTAATTTTTAGATCTTCGTGCCCTCCTTTATGTGATTTCTGGCCTGATGAAGAAGCCTGAATTGCTCAAAGCCCTGCACGTTTTTAATCTCATTTTTTTTTTTTTAAAAAAAGGTCCTAATAAAGATATGGCTAGGCCAAAGATTTGGGGTGGGGTTTTGTTTTGTTTTCAGTACCCAACATAGTTATGGTCACTTTTATTGATATAAAATAGCTTATGAAATATCTTATTGATCAGCAATTAGTTTAAACTGTATTTTAGATTAATACATTTAAATCTTGTCAAGTGTTTAGAGTTCTGTTGTTGACATTGTTCTCTCATGTTTACAGGTTAAGAAGAAAGGAATAAGAAAGAATAACTGGGAAGCTCAAACCTTAATTTATAATTTGGCATAGCAATTAAGGCACCAGATTGAAATTCAGGAGACTGAGTTCTAGTCTCTTTAGACATGAAGGCTGGATGGGTGACTTTCAAGAATTTCAACTTTTGTAGCATCTAATGCTTTGTGCACTCCCCCTCCCCTCATGGAGGTTTGGCTATATCCACAGGACTGTTACTATGAAATAATCCAGGAATTATACTTGTGCAACAGCACTACTTAGCTGGTGGTTTCTCATCAGGCAGAATGCCTTTTTCCTCCTAAACATTGTTGGAGAAAGAGAGCATTCTAATAAATGGATGAATTCTTAACATATCTTGGTTCTTTCTGTTCTGTATTACTTTATAGTAATGTATGGATAAATTAGAACTACTATAAATTACTAGAAACATTTCCATATTGCAGTTTTCTGTATGTGGTATGCTAGTACTGTATTTGTGAGAAATATTCTGTGATGCAGTAAAATGGTTCATGAATATGTACTACATGACAAATTGATTACCCCAAAAGAAGCCTCCTGGGTCTTATTAAATCATTTGGTTTCTGGCTTTTATGATTGGCTAAAAGCTATGACTTTTATCCTATTTGGCTGAAAGCAGTGATCTTTATCACATGACACAGCTCCTTTTTAAAGCAAGACCTTTTTCTCAAACAGACAAGTTGAGTTTTAGTGCCAAGGTTATTTTGCAGTCTCAAAATAATTCAATTTTTTCAGTGTTTTGGCCTCCCCAGTGTCGCAATGAATATATGGCCCAACATATCCTACAGTCCTTAAGCCCATGTTGTTAAGATATAAACATGGCTCTTTCACTTACCCATTTGGCATTTTTACAGAACAGGGCACCCTTCATTACAATTATAAGAGAAAATTGTTTCCAGAGGATAGGCCAGCTGAAGTCATTACAAATGAGAACTGTTCTGTACTGTCCATGATCAGATTGAATAATTGGTGAAACATAGAAATCTAAAGATTTGGGATCCAAAAATGTTACCACATGACTAAAAGATGCTATTATATAATTAAGATTGCTGTTTCCCCCTGGGTTTGTGCTCCACTCATTTTCTCCTGAAAACATGTTCATACCTGAAATTTGTAAAGTCTGTAGTCTGCTATTATATGTTTACGTAAAGATTGCATTTAGCTACGGTAAGTATTATTTCTCAGTAAATAGACCAGCTATATCTCTTTCATTATTATTCATCTTTACATAATAATTCTCTAAGGTTTCTTTAACATTTTATATATCAGAATCACTACTATCAAAAATTCATATCCTATAATTTTGAGCTTTTTATGTTATAGTATTCTAGTAAAGATAAGGAATGCTGGGAACTGCTGCAGTTGATGCAAATAAATGTACACAGGCCGTGGTGTTTTCATTCATTCAGAATTCAAAGAGCACGAAATATGTTTTACTGCCATCAGTGAGAATAATGTCATAAGCAACAAAACAAATACTACAGATCAGTTATGCAGTGCAATCTATTTCCTTTATTTTAAACTTCTGTCTAGATTATAGCTTTGTTTCTTCCTAAAAGCTCGTCAATTGGATTATAATTAGATAAACCATTTGCCTTGCATGTTGGCTAGAAGTTACAAAGTAATGTGAAAGATGATTGCTCAAGATGTTGATTTATCTTTTGTTTCTTGCTTGTTTCATTCATTGCAATGATTTCTGTTGGCAAAAAGAAATGTTGCCTTTCTGTTTAAAAATAGTTTTTTCCCTCAGTCCTGGAATTGGTGAAACTATAACTTTTTTTTTTTTTAATTTTGTAAGTCAGCTTTTTTCATAGGCTTATTTTTTCTCTTTGTGTTTCAACTGTAAGCCAAAGATAGATCTAGTTAATTGATATATACTTTTACATTTAAAATTAAAATGTACATTGATTGGAGTGTATGTTGTAACCACTACTGTAGGTCACTTATAGTTTTGACTTGTGCTCATGAGCCCAAAAAGGCATTTTCTAAGGCTGAAGTTTCTAAAGCTATTCCTTGAACTTTGGCAAATATCTTGCATTTATTACAGTAATTAACTGAAGGCAGTCCTTGACTTACAACCACAATTGAGCCCAAAATTTCTGGTGCCAAGGTGACCTTTGCACAATATTAGGTGAATTGTTACAGTTGTTATGTTAGTATCAACAGTTTTTAAGTGAATTTGGCTTCCCCATTGACTTTGCTTGTCAAAAGTTCACAAAATATGATCACATGACCCTGAGACACTGCAACCATAATAAATGAGCCAATTACCAAGCGTGCAAATTTTGATCACATAACCATGGGGATGCTGAAATGGTCATAAGTATGAAAAATGGCCATAAGTCAACATTTTTCAGAGCCATTGTTACTTCGAGCAGTCACTACATGAATGGTTGTAAATTGAAGACTACCTGTATTGCTGTTATTATAGGAAGGAGTTTACTTTATGAACCTATATGCAACTGTTCATTGCCCAATATAACATGATAAATTCAAGTTACCTAATCAGTCAATCCCCTCATACTCTATAAGGGTGTGGTAGGTGGAGAGATTTTACTTAAGCTTTCCCTTGATCATTGCCTCTGATTGAGATTTCTTTGTTCTTCTGATCTCCCCTGTCATTATATAATTTTATAACTTCTGTATCATTTTGAGCTTTGTCCTTGTATAAGAAAAAAAGTAGCTCGAATATGAGACTTTGTTAACATGGAATACTGTACTGAACGGAAACTTGTTTCAGATGCTGCTGTTAGAAGCTTCAGCTTACAGAGCTGGAGGATCTAATTTTAAAATTTTAAGCTGAAGGTCTCTGCGCTATTGATCTCTGCTCAGAAATGTAGTATTAATTTATGGGGCTTATAGGCTGCTTCAATTAACCGACTCTGAGTGGCACATAACTCCCCAAATCTATAATTAGTGGTAAAATAAATACATAAAGATTATAGAGTTTATTGTGTTTATTTATATTCTTTTACAAAGAGGGGAAAGGAGATTTCCATTGATTTTAGCAGGCTAAGGATGGGAAGTACTTCATCCATCTGGGCCCTCCTTGATCTCTTTGTGACCTTTGATACTATCATCATGGTATTTGTCTGGCCTGCTTAGGAAATTCAGAATGGGAAGCACCATGTTAGTGTTGCTCCTTTCTTTGGGGCTAGTTTTGGTGCGGGTGGGAGAGGTGGTACTCAAGCTCCCTGCTTTAGGGAGTGCTTCAAGGCTCCTTTCTTTTGTCACTCCCATTTAATACCTACATGGAGCCCCTGGCTGAGATCACCTGTCAGCATGAGGTGGTCTCATCAGCATAGTGGTAATACCCAGTTGTACATCTACCTTGGGTTGACCAAGTAATGCCGCTAAGGTCTTTTCCTGGTGCCTGGAGACTGTGAGGGTCTGGATGGAGGAGAAGAGGCTGTAGCAAAATCCTTGGAAGCCAGAGTTTTAAGCTCCTGGCTCCAGAGATTTTCTGCCTTTGAGTTTGTTTAGGGTTGTTATTTCCTCAGTCAAAATTGGTAAGCAATTTGGGAGTGTTCCTGCAATGGCTACTGCTGGACGAGGGGTGCTTTTTACATCAGTTTGTCTCAGACATTGTTGGCGTCCTTCCTGTACCCAGGAAGGCCTGGCTCTTAGTGACTCATGCCTTAGTCACCTCCAATGAGATTACTCTAACATGCTTTATGTGAGGCTACTCTTCTACAGTTTTTTGGAAACTGCACCTAGCCCAGAATGCAGTAATGTGGACAGGTGTTGGTATTTCTTGTTACATTCATATAACATTGTACCATGAGCTGCCCTCAATTCTAGTAGTCTTCCGGGTATGATTCAAGGTGCTGCTTTTTTACTTATAAAGCCTACATGCCTCAGAACAGATGTGGGCACTTTACGCCCCTCCAGGCCACAACTGGCCCTTTGCCTGTTCCTCTCTAGCCCATATGGATTGATTTTATTTTGAAGACGACTACATTTTTCTCAATTTACATATATTCACGAGTGCCTACCCTGACAGCTGTATTGGTTCGGCCCTCCACAATACTCATGTTTTTCATGTGGCCCCTTGGGAAAATTAATTGCCAACCCTGGCTTAGAGGTAAGCTACCTTTTTAGCCTGTGCTATGTATATATTCAATCTATTGTTTCTTTTGGCCTACCAAATTAAGAAGAGCAGGCATGCCCTGAGCTCCTTCCATCAAGCAGTGTCAAAAAAATTTAAACTCAGGAATTGCACCTTCTCTATGGCAATGCCTGCTCTATGGAAAAGTTCCCACCCCTAAGATCTGGTCCTAATCTTGTTGGCTTTTTGTTTCCACAGATGTTTAGCCAGCAGGTTAGGCTAGATTTGGTTTTTCTGATTGAAATGTTTTGTTTATCTTGGGCATATGGGTGTCTCTAGTCATTGTTTTAATCTTTTACATCAAGGTGCCACGGCCCAGTGCCGGGGTATAGCCTGTTGGGAACTGGGCTGTGGAAATGGCTGGTGAGCACAGCACGCACACACACAGCCACATTTGCAGAAGTGGCAGGTGAGCACATGCAAAGCTGTATTTGCGCAAATGGGTGAGTGTGTGCTTGTGCGTGAAGTCATCCCCTCTCCTCCCCCACTGCCACTGCTAGGGATGGGGACCACTCTTTTACACTACCCAGAACCACTGTTTTGAGATGGGCAATCATATAAATTAATTAAATAAAATTAATACCCAACTTAATTTTGATGATTACCCACCTATTTTTTCTTTTTTTAGTTTTTCAGTATCTCAGTATAGCTCTTATTGCATAATCTCAGCTGAAAACGTACTCTCGGGGTTGTTTAATGCAATTGTTTATATATATCATATGTGTGAAAAGCTGACAATGTGTAGAATGCCTAGGAAATCTATGGAATGTGTGACATTTTTAGGCAAAGTATGAAATGGCTATGTTATTTTAATATGCTATATACTTTCTCTAAGCTTTGTATGTAATACTGTACTTAGTTATTATGCAGAATGACAACTATTTAGGCAAAGAATGAAAAGAGTCGTGAAAAGGGTTAGAGTTACAGTTAAGGTCAGAGATACATGAAAAGAAGAAATGCAAAATGAAGTATAGGACTTTCTTACTGAAAGAAAAAAACAAGAGAAAAAGACCAGTATTGACCTACTTGTTGCAACAAGGAAGGCTAGAATGGCCTTTTAGCTGGTGTATTTTATACTTTGCCGGTTTGCCTTTTGGCATTGCATCAAATGCTTAGGAAATGTGTGAAATAATAAGTGATTCATGCTTCGTTGCCCCATTTTTGGCATTCTATAGATTTCCTAAGCATTCTAAAAATGCCTAATTTTACATACTGATGGTAACGTAT